GGGAACTTTGAGTAATAACATTTAAACACAAGTTGCAGAAAGTGTAGTGTTAATATTTAAAAGTTAGCTATCAAAAACAGTGCCAAAAATATTCAATTACATTTAACTACAAAAAATATATATCTTTATTTAAATTAGCAGTGTTTAATGACCAATTTAAAATACTAAATAGAAAAAGTTAAAATCTGTGCTTCCCTCCTCCCAACAACATGGTTGGCTGCCCCGGAACCTTCTTAAGGTGCTCCAGCTCCCCGGGGACTCTTTTGGCCGTAATACCTGAGGCAGACCACACCAGAGGGTTAGTACAATTCATTTTCAACACAATTACTTAAATTTAAATGCACTTATTCCTTTTACTTATTTCCTTTTCTTTTACAGGTAACTTCACAATCTGCACATCAGTTATTCAATAAACACCTTTCAAACTTGTTTCTGTTTCTTATTATCTTACCTTTTAATTAGCCCTAGGCCCATGTAATGGACTGGCTACATTACAGTTTTACTGGAAATGAACCAAAACTGGTCTGAGGCCGAGAAGAGAAATGACAGGATGGAGTGAAGAGTAGAGGAGATAAATCAACCACAAAAATAAGATTGCATGTAATGTTCCACAGTATGACATGAAACTTATCAACCATGGAGACCAGCAAGTGATGCCACGAGTCAGATCAGAGTTGTTTTTCCAGTGAGTTTTTTGCGCAATGAAAATACATGTCATTGAAAAGTGACATAGTGCAGCTTTAATGTTTTGCAGGGGATTTTATAACTTTGCATTTCTAATATTCACTGACCTCATTTTATTAAAGGAAGTGTATTTTTTGCCAGGTTTGAGTCACACTGAGTCACTGGTTACATGCGTAAACTGCACTAAAACACTTCCACTCCCATGCAGGGAGTTGACCAAAAGTGAATCTGATTTCTACATTGACTGTAAAACAACCCACCAACAAACACGTAAGGGTGACTTACAAGGCAGTGTCCACACTTTTGTAATCTGTTTGCATCTTTTTCAAGTGTTTTTACTACTGTGGAAAATACAGTCAATATTCAGATTTTGTATGGCTTCAGATGTATTTCTATATCCCCCACATCTAAGCAAATGAGGTGAAGAGTAGGGAGAGACATTCAGCAAACCAGCACAAAGTATTATTACTGTCTCACATTCGAAACAGTTTGCAGAGGTCCAAAGTTATTCCTCATTTACCTTCTGCAGTGTGTGTCCTCACTATTCACCACAATGACTTTATAAGCACTTTTCAGAACTTTCAGAGACCAGTGCAGGGTTTCGCCATGACAGTAAAGCTAATTACAACTAGCATGCTAACTATGCACTTCCGATTATCGGACAGCAAAACACAGTACACAGCAGATTTATTTTGACCTCAAGTGCATCTCATACATCAGCGTACAGACCTTTTAACCTGAATGTGACCAGTTGTTTGATATGGTGGTATGCAATTTTATTTAATACAATTTATGGAGAGTAAATGTCACTTATTGGCTTCACTGATCAAAACAGCACAATATAGTCACTTCCTTATGGTTTTGACAATACTAGAAGCTTTATTTTGTGTGACCAAATTTCAGTCAGCTTGTTTTTAATTATGGGGCAAAAATTGGCCGTAGTAGATGTTGTGTGTTTTCCAGTATTTCCTATTAATGGGAAACACTGGAGAACACACAATTAATGGGAAACACAACATTAAAATTGAGACAAAATTGGGACTAAACACGAAGCTAAACCAGGCCAGACTTCCTGTGGTTTTCATCTGGTCTGGAAATATGAGTCAGTGACATCTTGTTTCTTGACTAAATGGCCGTGACTAAAACTTATTATACAAACACACAGCTGGAGAACGGGGAAATAACCAAACCAGTTAACTAATACTTGATTTACTCAGAAATAAAAATGAGGAGGACTTCCTTTTGTCCACCATCTGAATAAAGAAAATATGGATATGGATGTGAAGGCAAAGCTGTAATTCAGTCTGAGAAGAAATTCACAAAAAACTAATTGGACTAAACCAAATCTCATTTATAGTGATCAGCTTTGACTAGGGATGGGACAATTAACAATAATATTGATTATCGTGATAAAAAGGATAGACAATAATCACTTGTGGGACATTTTATATAATTGTGATAATTGTCAACAAAGATAAGCCACCGTGGTGGCTGAGTGGCTAGTACTTATGCCTCACAGCAAGAATGTTCTGGGATTGATCCCCGGGTCACCTGGGCCTTTCTTTGTGGAGTTTACATGTTTCTCCCTGTGTCTGGATGGGTTTCCTCTGGGCACTCTGGTTTCCCCCACCAACCCAAAACATGCTACAAAACAGCTGATAGTCAAGGTCAGTTAAATACACTCAATCAATGAATCTGTCCAGGGACCACAGGTGGAAATTAGCACTGATGCTACAACCTGATGTACAATGCATCTCTCCTATTAAGGTAAATGCAAAAATTGTGCACTGTCTCAAATAAATAAATAAATAATCTCCATAAATCATCAGAATGTGCAGAAAACAGATACTTATCCCTGATGTTTTCTTGTTTTCACTTTCACCAACAAAGTACAACACTGCAACAGTTGATTAAATATGGAACCTAATCATAATATTCAAATGATCATTATTCATATCCATAACATTTTTAAACTGTCAGCAACGTTTAGAATTATCCTGTTTATTAATTGCAATTATCTTCTAATCTATCCAGTCACTACTTTTAGGACTTGACATTTGACTTGATAAAATACACTAAGATTTGGAACTTGACTTGGATTTGACGATCAGTGACTTAGGACTTGACTTGAGCCCTGTGACTTGAAAAGACTTGATGCTTAGATTAGTTGACAAATTAACTGTTATGAAGCACTCTTAAATCTTAAACCCTTTCTGTTCTGATCGTAATAATCCACACTGTTATCTAGAAATGTAATAAGGAAAAATGATAGTTTCTACAACGCTTATATAAATACTCATATACTATTACTTTTTAAGAAAAATTTAGTTTAAAAATGATATAAATAGCAAAAATCTAAGGCTAAACTATATTTGGTACTTCGGTTTAAAGACTTGAAATGCTTTGAAGCTCAAAGTAGATGACTTGGACTTGACTTGGGCTTATCAGTCAGTGACTCGAGACTCGACTTGGACTTACTTGAGACTTGCAAAACAATAACTTGGTCCCACCTCTGATTCTATCTATACAGTTTCCATCGTCCCACTGGGAATATAATCAATCTACTCTCTATCAGACCTTCCCACTAGACACCGGCTGCACCTATTATTATATTTATCCAAATAATTCAAGTTGGATTTGAAATGTCATGTTTCTCTGAGCAGTGCCTTTTGCCACTCTTGCCCAAGGACACAACAGCATTCATCTGTGGGTCTATAGATCTGACACACGAACCGCCGATCTTCAGATGAGTGGACAAATACCCTACAGTCTCCTGGTGAGCCCTGCGTGTGTTTGTGCTCTAAAAGTTCAAAGACACATTGAGTTTGAGCTGGGTGCTTATGGCCTCGCCTGATAAAAGGGTTTGAAGGACTGTGTTTTTCACCATTATCTGATAAGAGTTATTCTAGTTTCGTGTTTCAGTAAATACACACAAACCTTTGTTGTACTGTTACTTTATTATAACAAACATTCAACAATGGTTTTAAACTGACTCAAAACACTTTTCATTGGCACATGACACATTTTCAAAAATCTCCTTCTGCAGAAAAATACTGTTTGTGTACCATGTGTGAGTGAGTGAGTGTATTATAATACCATGAAATGAAAGAAATAATCACAATAAGATATACCAGAAACACATTTTTCAGTAACCAATACACAAAATTTAAAGCTGCACTATATAACCTTTACAGAGGAGGGTCTGCTACCTGCTAGTTTCCATGAAGAGCTTGTTGTGTTGTTTTATATGTTCCAGAGTATTACATTAAACTTCTCGATCTCCATGAAGACAAGTAGGTAACTTCACCAGACATAGTTAAAAGTCAGATCTGTGGAGAGGCGACCCCTCTGTCGGCTATAAAAACACCTGTACTTGAATAAATATAAGACAGTTACGTTAAATGCCTTACAAGCAGATGATGGAGGCTCTACCAGAAAAGTTACGTAGTGCGTCTTTAAATAAAATAAGATATATATTTGAAAAGTTGCCAAAAGTTAAATTTAAGTTGTGATTTACAGCAAGTGACTGCAATCACATGATTGTATAGAAATGCAACTGAATAAATAAGAAATCAGATTAGAAGGTATAATGAATAAATATTAACATTTATTCTGATTGTAATATTTGAATTGTGATTCCATAATTAAGTGGTTTTCCCAAAAAAACATTTTCCTTCATGGGACAGTACATTTTAAGTTAACATCTGGCTACTGGAAGCAACTTCCAGTTTGTGAAGCCCTGCTTTAATCCATAGAAAAATATCACACATCTTACTCATTTAAAAATATTAGCTAAAAACAAATAAAAAATAAGACACATGTGCATAATATGTTGACAATACGTTTGTGCGACTATAGCGTTCAATCCGTTTAGCTCCCTGAACGGACAAGCTCCAAATGACTTTTAGTGTCTGCAATAAAATGTTGACTTCCAATGTTATTTTATAAAAACCATGATCTTGCTTGTACTCTTTAGGATCAAGCCTTGAAAATGTTTACATCATCTTTGTACCAAATACACAGAAATAGTATTTTTTCTAAGCTACCATCCTTAATTAGACTGGCTGACCCATCCATGTTGCAATCTCACATGTCACCACTAGATTTCTACATTACTGCTGTGTGATAGAGTACCAACTTCGGCCTGACAGAAGAAGAGCAGAGAGCACAGGTGAGTCTGAACAAAGGCCAGGTGAGAGGTATGGATTGTAGCTTTGCCATTTATTATATTATATATATATATATATATATATATATATATATATATATATATATATATATATATATATATATATATATATATATATATATTTTTTTTTTAATTTATTTATTTATTTATATTTAAAAAGCCCTTCTATGATATTTAGTATTATCTTGGTCTCCTTTCGAACAGAATATGTCAAACACAACAAAACAAAAATACATACAAACTCAAACATGTGAAGAGTACAGTCCAGCAGAGGGCAGCGCCTTTGTGACATCCTCCAAAATGCAGGATTAGTGAAACATGTGAATAAAACAAACACGAGTCCAGGTAGTTGAGGTGACATGAGATGAGGTGACATTATAAAATCAAGTTATGCTCAGTGTTGAGAAGTAAATAGGTGTACCGAAAATCTGCTTCAGAACACTTATGTTGAGTAACTATTCCAGTACAGTTATGCTTTCATCTGGTAGTATTCACAGTTGCTTTCTACACTGTGGTATATTGCATCGTATTATTGAGGAAAAACAAAAATAAAAAATGAATTTCCTGTCTCCAATTAGTGACAGGAAATGCACAACATATGATGAAATAAATAAAGCTGTTTTTAACTCTACGTTGTGTTTCTACACTATAATTTAAATGCAGCTCAATGTAAAAGTACCCCAAGTATTCTTAAAGCAAGTATTCACTAGTCTGTATAACTAAATAAATACATTTCAAAGTATTCTTCCAAAAGCTGGTTATGTTGCCATGTAAACTTAACTTATTCGTCGTCATCTTCTTCTTCTTCTTCTTGTATTTTGACTTTCACTCTGTGCCAGGCGTTGCTTAAAACTCCCCTTAGATTCCAAATGGGTAGAATCGAATCCGGCTGCATGTTGTAACTACTGTCCACCGCTTTGCACACGACCTCCATCTCCTCCGTATCCGCTGGCAACGGCACCGTCAACTCCCAAAGCTTCCACGCCCACGCCTGACCGGGAGGGGCCGTCGTGACTACGTCGTCTTGCGGCTTATCCGAGCTTTTCAACTGCGCGATTTTCCACGTTTTCCCTCCGTCTATGGAAACGTCGACTCTCACCACCTCCCTGCCTCCTCCGCTCCACGCGTACCCTTTTAAAGTAACTTCCTCGTCGCTTCGGTCCACTGTCGCGCCATCTGCTGGTACCGTTATCGCGGACTGAATTGGTAACTCTTGAATGGCAGGTGCGGTTTTGTAGTCGACTGTATCCCAATCCGTACATGGCGAAAACCCTTTATAATCATTTTGTTGCCAGTGACTACTACTTTCTACGTCACTAATGATAATCTTGCCGAGCCATTTTACATTCCGAGCACCTACAGTTCCCGGGACGATAACGCGAATCGGAAAACCATGATCTAGCGGTAATTCCTCCCCGTTCATTTCGTAAGCAAGTAAGCAATCGCCGTCTTCACTAACAGCTTTCCTAAGTGGAATTGACGCTCCGTAAGTCGTTCCTCCTACGTCTTGGTCCAGGCCTTCGAACTGAACGTGCCTCGCCCAGTTCGCGTCATCGGAAGTATAACCGGCGGCTAGCAGGACATCTCGGAGTTTCGCCCCGCTCCAGGTCGCGTTCCCGATCGCGCCAATCCCCCAGTTCAACCCCTTAACGTTCTTCACTTTGTGCATATCCGACCGTCTGTTCCCCGCGCACTGAATAGTGGCGGTCACTGTGTGCTTGGGAAATTTGTTCTTCAGTTCGTCCAAAGACAGCGACAGCCCGCCTCCTCTTTCGCCGGTGGGTCCCGGGATTTCGATTTGCAGCTTGTAGGTTTTGGGATCGACGCGAGGAACGGGGAGGTGGTTGCGTTTGAAGAAAAACAAGTTGGGGGTGACGTAGCTCTCGGTGAGGATTTCGGGAGGAGGTTCGGCGTTGAATGGTTTGAGGTTGTTGATGCGGAGGACAGGGTGGCGTTCGGGGTCAGAGGAGAAGGGGTCAGACTGGTTTAGACTCTGCTGCTTCTTCTGGTCCTCAGCTCTCAGCTCCCCCACCTGGACAGAAGAAGAATATGAATTTATTATTGCTTTGTTATTAATAGTTTGCTCTGGAATTGCAGTAACAGTGTGCTGACTGGTATTATAACAGTTAAGTTTATCAATATTCCATTTGTTATAACCAAATTAAATGTTAATTTTGAACAATTTCATAATTAGTGCAAAAAAGATGACTGCTGAAAACATGACAATGCAGCTCTCTTAATTGTTTGTAGTAAACAATAAGCTGCGGTTGAGTTTGTAGTAAATTGAGGAAAAAAAAAAATTTGGCCCCATAGATCAGCAGAGTTTATTGGCCACTGGTTTCCCTGGATGAAAAAAAAAACACCAACTTATGGGTCAATTTCTAATTAAGGACAAATACTGATCATGTTTAGGGGTGTGCAAAAATATCAAAATACTGATATATCGTATCACCTAATGTGATGATACAGTATTTTTTGGTATATTTTAATTATTTTCTTACAGTGCAATAGTTTTGTTGTTTGTTTAGAGGAAGGAAACTTGTTTATGTAACACATTTGACATTTTCACTGTTTTGATGATTAAAATGGGTGTTTTTCATATGAACTTTGCACAAGTGGTTTGACAAAGACTTTTACATCACAGCCATCATTTATGTGACTATACCAGCTTGTCAAAGCCTGATCCCATCAGATCTCAGAAGCTCAGCAGGTCCAGGCCTGCTTAGTACTTGAATGGGTGACACTGGGAAAATCAGGTGCCAGAGGGGGGCGCCAGTCACAAAAACTGTTGTTGTGTCCTTAGGCAAGACACTTCACCCACATTGCCTAATATGAAAGTGGTGTGTGTGTGAGTGATGGTGGTGGTCGGAGGGGTCGGACGGGCCGATGGCGCTGATTGGCATGTCAGCCGCGCTTCCGTCAGTCTGCCCCAGAGCAGCTGTGGCTACAATAGTAGTTTACCACCACCAGGTACGGAGTGACGGTATAATGCTCTGTAAAGCGTCTTTGTGACAAATGTCTGTAAAAAGCGCTATATAAATAAAATACTTATTTAAACATTATTTTTACTTAACCGTATCGAATCAATTTGAAATATAACATATCGAATCGAAAGTGCACTGTATAAAGATACATATCGTATTGTGGCCTGTATATCGAGGTATATATCATATCAGCAACTTCTTAATGATATCCAGCCCTAATCATGTCTATACATATAATATTTAACTATACATTGCGTAACGTTTCTGATGGAGGGTGCTTATCTCCACAAAAAGGTAATTACTTTCAAGCCTTATTCTGAAATATCCAAAGTAAAGCAGAGACTAATCCTCGAGTCCTCTCACTGTAATAATGCATGTTTTTCAAGATATTTTCAAAGATGAGCACACAGTTATTCCCCTGGGCTGAACCTGGTTGCTGTACTGGTGCAAACAGCAGCTGTCCTCCCTCACAGACAGTTCATGTTTGGGTTAGACACATTGGCCGCATCCCATTTCTTTTCACTCCTCAAATCCCAAACTCCTTGATTCCTCTCATATGTCAATCACGGCCAGAGAGAAGAGGGAGAGTCAACTGGAACCCACTTCTCTCCTCACTGGATAAGACTTACAAATAAGAAAATGAGGAAACGAGGAGCCAAGTGAACAAAAATGGGATGCACCCTTTGACTGTAGCTACGACAACAACAGCAGCAGTGGCCATATTTAAAAGGTCAAACTTGGGTAATATTTACACAGCATGTAACGTATGGTTCATTAACTTTGTACTAACAGTAACTTCTATGGTAGTTATTGTACGGAAAGTACATAGGAGTAAAACTGTACAACGCTTTTATTCCAATGACATAATCCAGGAGGAATTATATGGTTTTATTTTGGCTTTTCCACTGAGGTTCTATCTGCTGACACTAGTTTAGACCTCTACAGACATGTTTAGCTGTTCATATTTCAATCTTTTCTAAAATGTTATCACCGTTGGATGTGTTTAAAGGTGTACTATGTAACTTTTCTGGTGGTTCTAGCTTTGCCTGGACATGTCTATTTTGCTTCTATTCAATGAGAAATCTTTATTGATTGCAACCTTACTGTGAGCAGGGTCACCTCTCCACAGATTTGACCTGTAACTTGAGCTACTGCTTGTCTCCATGGTGAACACTCCACCAGAAAAGTTACATAGCGCCCCTTTAAAATATGCACCGTGAGCCAAATATTCATTAAAAATATCAACCAATAGAGAAATCATAGAGAAAACCTCAATATGTTTTTTTAGACATTGTGGTAAATTAAGTATATTCAGATACTGGTACTACTTGCCTTGTACTCTGACAGAATCTCCAGCACATGTTCTTGGTTGTGGACAGCATACAGGGCCCAGAATGGCTCAACAGCGCCTCCTGCTGCCAACATGATTTTGTTTCCTCCAGGATGCATGGCCACAAACTCAGTGATGTCGTAGACGCCTCCTTTAAACGTGACCCACACTCCATCCTGCAGAGAGCGGTGTCGAGAAACCTCCTCCTGACTGAAAATCGGCAACGAAGAAGAAGAAGAAGGTGAAGAAGGGGAGAGGTTATCGACCGGCTGTCCAGTGATGGCATCAGCTTTCTCAGCCTGGAAAAGAAATTAGAAAGAGATCAAATGATAGTATACTGTGGAATCAATTAGGGATGTAACAATATCCAAGTCTCACGATACAATATTGTCACGGTTTGAACCTCACAGTAAGATATTTACTGCGATATCATGGGAAAGCTCATGATATGGTGGGGAGGCTCATGATTGGGGATGTAACAATATCTAAATCTCTTACTATATGTACACAATATTTCCACAATATACATTTCACGGTACAATATTTATTATAATATTTTGTGGAGACTAACAAAACCGTTAATATGCTTCTTTTTCCTTTCTTTTTTTTAAATGCCATGACAAGACTTAATCCAAAGCACTAAGACTTAAAAGTGCTTAGTACTGTTCTTTCTTCATGTAGTTACTGAAATGGAGCAAAGGATCCTGGTCTATGTAGTTCCCTCTGTCTTTTTTAGCCACTGCTGCACCATAACTCTTAAATTAAGCAAAGAGACTTGTAATTCAATATATTGTGATGGTCCACAATATTATTGTGAGAACTTTGATGATACGATATCATGATATTTCACTTATTGTTACTTCTTTAGAATCAATACAAACAATACTCTTGTATTTGTATTAATGTAAAAATAATATGAAATGTTTGTTGTAATAAGTGTGAAATGTTCAGAAATACTACAAGGATTAGTATTCCTCTTTATTCCTGCTATACTATTATAATGTAATATTTGAAACAAGCAATATTGATCTAAAACAACTAACATTTAAACACTTCAATTTCTTCTTGTGCTACTTTAAATGTCACAAGTTCAAATGGGTAAAAGATTAAGATTTTTTTTTATGACTTTGTGTATATCCTTTTACTGTTGGTTTATTATCACTCTCTCAACTCACAAACTTTCTGAATTTTTGTCTGTATATAATTCCTGGATAAATATGTAGACATGACACTTGTATCGTCCAGACCTTGTGTTGGTTGAGGGCGTAGACCAGCACTGCTCCGGTCCCAGCCAAGAGTCCAGCCACAGCCTGAGTCCAGCGCCTGCTCCATCTGAACTCCGAGCCTCTGTGTGTGTCACTGCTGAAGTGAGCGGCGCAGGGGGCTAAGGCGGGAGTCACCGGGTGTCTGAGGAATCAACATTTACAACAATATTAGATATGGAATATGCACTAAACTGTTAAGAGCTCTACAGGAACTGGTAAATGAAACTGACAAATGGAGATGGTAAAAATGAATCAGAGGCACAGGAAACATTGTAAACATTATAAGATCATAAAAAAATTATGATTAATTATCTTATTTTTTCATTCATTTCAATCCAATGCACTCCACTTTATTTCTATAGCACATTTCACAAACAAACAGTTTCCAAAGGGCTGCACAAATGCATACTAATAAAAACAATAATAAAACAATAAAATAAACTTCTAAAATAATCATACTAGTCTCAAAATAATAAAATCAGTAAAATAAAATAAGAGCAAACTCATAGAATAAGAATAAATAAATAAAACCAATAAAATACATTAAAAATAAGGACTACACAACTCACGCGGTATTAAAAGCCAGAGAATAAAAGTGGGTCTTAAGACGAGACTTAAAAAAATTTATTTAATACTTTATGTTGAACATTGCAGACTAAAGAAAATGTGTATGTTCAAAAAGAAGTGGGAAGAAGTTTTAACAACTTATGTGAAACAATAATTTACACATTGTCAAACATAAACCTGTTACGGAAGAATATTTTTATTATCAGTCGTATTTTGTAAAGCACTTTGAATTACTGTGTGAATAGTGCTATACAAATCAACTTGCCTTGCTTTGCCAATGATGTGTTTTAATGATTTAATGTGTATGAATGATATTTTAAAAGCTACTGTGAGACTCATAGATGTCAAGACAAATGCAGGATATTCCAATCGATCTAACAGCAAACTAACTAAATAAGACAAGAACTACCGATAGGGCAGATATCATAACTTGTTAGCCAGATAACACCCTGGATGCAGTCTGATTAGACTGTGCAGCGTTCCAAGAGGCCTGGCTCCTGTGCACCAACGAAGAGGCACCAAGTCTAAATCACTGTAGCCTCCCACAATAATTTGCATATAAAAGTATATGCAAATTGGAATGGAAATGTCAGCACAGACTCCTTGTATAAGTATGACTTTCTAATATTGAAATAAGCAGAATAACAGACTTTATTTCTGTTTCAAGTGTAATTTTTATCTAAGCAGACACTAATGAACACGTAAGGAAAAGGTTGTTTTCCTCAACACATGTAATTGTAAAGAGACTAAAAAAGAAATTAGTATGATCAATTCTATTAATTCTGAGTTTGAGTTAGAGTAGGTGATCATAATGTTATAGTAGTTGTAATTAGGGATGCACTGATCCAGTACTGACACAGCTCTGTAACACATTTGGATCAGTTTTGTCTTATTTTATTTTAGTTTAAAAGGAAATAAATGCTATTTTTAGTCTCTGTACTGGTATGAGTTGATATCAGGTGTTGACAGATACTTAAAGCTATAGCATCGAAATCGGTATTGGAACTGAAAAAGCTGAATCGGTGCATTTCCTTATAAATATATTTCCTTTGTTTAATCTACATTTTTAGAGTTACCTGTAAGAGTTGATGGAGCAGAGCCGGGTCAGGCGGGAGCAGCGTTGGAGCAGCAGCATTTCATTGAAGTTTTGAGGTTTTATCTGAACAAAATCAAACAAAACTATTAGAATATATGCCGACTGTAAAAGAGTCAGCCAGTAAGTAGGAATGGTCCCCCACTGCCCTTAAATACATAGCAAGTACACTGCCTTTGTGTCATTTGGCAACACCTTCATTTTATTGATCATTTCTTCTTGTCTGTATGAATGGGTTTTTAATTTTTGACAGCGTAAACATTACATAATCAAGGGTGTGTTTTGAAGTAGCAGATAGGCTGCCTACTGTTATCACTGTATACTTCCCCCACCAGCCCTTCCCTTTCATTTTCCATTTTCCTCTTTCTTTCTCAGTCAGGCCACTTTTCAGGTTTCAAATTTTACATCCAGGTTGGAAATCTTTACATCACGATTGGGAATTCTATAACTGATACGTAGCAACCCTGATGCACAGAGATTATTATTGGACAAATAAAAATGATGAAAAAAACACCTTTATTTTGTTGAAATCATTTTTAAAGAATAAGAAAAATGTGTTTAGTAAGTATAAATTGTGCCGAAATTTTGGACAGAATTCTCCCCAGTGTGGTGTCATCAAAATGGAACAGATTTTTCAAGTTTTCTACACAAGATGCTTCTTGGTTGGTGTAAAACTATGATTTATATTTACAACAAATATTATAGCATCAAATTGAGTAGAAATTAGAGAATCATCAACACATACGTACTTTAATTAAGTAAAAAATATACTGAAATTTAAGCTGATTAGCCACTTTTACCTTTATACAAAACTTTATTATTGGAGTAGTATTTTAAATATTAATTAACTTTCTTTAAAGGTGCTTTATGCATTTCTTCTGGTGAAGGGTCTGCCTGTTTGTCTCTATGTCACTGCTTCACCTAAAATATTTCAAAGTATGGCATTACATATGTTTTTAAGCTAAAACACCTAAAAACATTTTCTTATTTATTTATTTGTAAAGGGACAGCAAATATGAATGAATATTTAAAATGTAAATATGTAAAGATTATATCCAGCGTGACTAATTTCCATCTTCAGTCCCTCGGCAGGTTGGTGTAAAATCATCTAGAGCACAGAGAAAAGTACAGCAACAATCACACAAAAGTACACAACACCAACACACTCACTGTACACTCACTATAGATACAACAACATGTATTTTGTGTATTGTGAGCAGACTTGCCTCTGCACAGATCTAACCTGTGTAACTCTGCCGTGGTTGCGTCACTGCTTGACCTCACAGAGATAGAGAAGTTTGAATACCAAACTTTGGAACATTTCAGGCAAAGTCTCCATGGTGATGAACACACACATCAGAAAAGTCCCATAGTGTGTCTTTAGTATTTTAATGGCACAACTGACAGACAGCCATTTTACTAAACCAGATCATTTCAATACATTTCTTGAAGTACGCACATGTTTGACTAATTCTTTATTATTTGCTTGTCTATCTAGTCAAAGTTCTGTTCCACCTGGTGATGTCATGAAGCAGTAGTTTTCAAGTTAACAGCCCCTTTTACCTTTAGTTCAGTAGAGATAATTCCATACCAGAAAAAGAAAGAAACAAACAAACATACAAATAATTCTAGTGAAAGTGTATGGAGTTTAAAAACAGTGGAGCGATTCCTGAATTGCCACGTGACATCACAAGGTGGAGTGTTTTCTATTTGAATGAAAATTTTCATTTTTTTATCTATTTTGAAAGAAAAAAAAAGAAAAAAAAATTTTAGGATTTGGGTTTTAAACATGTGTGAATGAAACAAAACACAACTCCATGTATGTTTCTATTGAGGAAACAACATTAAAGGGACAGTGCAGAATTTTGGGCATGGTGATGGACACTCGCATCAGAAAAGTCCCATAGTGTGCCTTTAGTATATTAATGACACAACTGACAGACAGCCATATTACTAAACCAGATCATTTCAACACATTTCTTGAAGTAATTTAAATATTTTTGCAGTACTTTCACTTCTTCTACTAGTAACTTATCTAGATGTTTTACCTCTTGTGGCCTTGTTTTTCTTCTTTTTTTCCAGGACAATAATTACTCTGACCCTAAGCATCATCTGTTTACCATAACTTGCTGTTTTCTTTGTAGACACCTCCTCCACCCAACCAGAGACTACCGGGGCGCTCCACCCAGCCAACCAGCTTTGGGGGAGTGTAACCGGGGGAGAGATGGGCCATGTGCACCGCTGAATGTTAATAAATCAACACTTAAAGTAGTTTTTTACCCACAAATCAACGTGTGCATTGCAATTCCAAAGTTTCTAGCGTTAATTTTTGCACGTTTTCAGGCAATCCTAATAGTGTTCCTAATAATTTGGCCAGTGCCGTAAAATGTTTGTTATCTCAACGTGTCACGCTTGGATGTGATTAAGATTAAGAAAGGTTATCAGAAATTCGCTACTACTTGGAGCCTTATCTACGCGTCATAAAATAACAAAAAATAGATTAAACTGTATAAAAAAAAAGTTAAGATATTAACAATACGTGGTCAAAAGAAAGTCACCCAAGATGCTTACGTTTTCACTCGCTAAATTTACGCACTAAAAACAAGTCCTATCGTTTCAAACCTAAGTAATGAAACGTAAACGGCTTAAAGACTACACAGAATGAACATAAATTAACTATAAGAGAGCATTGTTCGAGATATTACGAAGTTACTTAACGCTAACCGCACCTAAAAACACTGGCAAAGGATCAGAACGTTTAAAACAGTCAAATCAGGCTACCGGGACAAATAAGCGGTTAGATTCACTTGTGTTTGTGAAAATGTTACTCACTTATTCATGAAGAATCCCTGGATAGCTCCTAAAAGTGCAGTGTCCACGATGTTAAGGCTGCCCTCTTCGGTACACACATCATCGGAGCGTGCGCAATGGCTCCAGGACGCAAACGCATGACGCAGAGGGGAGGACAGAGTACTTGTTATTGGCTGCTACTAAACAACACTGCTTTTTTTGTATTTTTTAATCATTTCATAGTCATATGTTTGTGAGAGAAGACCCAAAACGATAAATTCACTTAAGTATTTTTATATGAAGTGTTAATTGCGATATTACGCAAAATGACTCTTATGAGGTTTAAGCCATGTTACAGTGTTGCTTTTTCATCAAAAACATACCCGAAGTTGTGTTTTGTTTCTTTCGCACATGTTTGACTAATTCTTTTTTATTTGCTTGTCTACCTAGTCAATGTTCTGTTCCACCTGGTGATGTCATGAAGCAGTAGTTTTTAAGTTAACAGCTCCTTTTACCTTTAGTTCAGTAGAGATAATTCCATATCAGAGAAAGAAAAACAAACAAACAGACAAACATACAAATAATTCTAGTGAAGGTGTGTGTAGCACTTCCTTGCCAAATGACATCATAAGGTGGAGTGTTTTCTATTTGAAAGAAAAACAGCACACAAAAATTTGTAGGATTTGGGTTTTAAACATGTGTGAATGAAACAAAACACAACTCCATGTATGTTTCAGGTGAGGAAACAACATTAAAGGGACAGTTTGGAATTTTGGACATAGGGCCTCATTTCCTAGTGATCCAGAGTGTTGGAGACATGTGGAGACACCGACACCATGCACGAGCAATCAGGGGTTAACAATATTATAGAAGAGTGGTTTAACTCCACATTTGGGTCGTGGAAAAACATTGTGTTATCCATATTCACATCACTGCTTATTTGCATAAGTGTGTTTGTTTTATGTGGGTGTTGTTGTATTCCATGCATACGCTTGCTCCTATTAAGAGTTTTTGACAGGATGTTTGAGAAAATTGAAATTCATGTAGCTGAAGAATGTGAAGCATTACTAGCTAATTTGAATCTGGACTACACTCAAGAAGAAAATTCTGTTTAGAATATGCAAAATGACGAGGCTATAGAAAATCTGCTTAGAAGTTATAGTACTCTGAGGTAACGCAATATTGATAAACAGGAGGGAAATGTTAGAGAATTCATATGATATAAATGTATTTCTTTGATTTCAGTATTAATCATTAAAGTGTTACTCATTTATATATGTAATTCTTTCATTAAAGTATTAATCATTTAAAGAGTGAAACATTTAAATATTAATCATGGTGTAATCAACATTGCTTTGGGTCTGTTTTGGTTCAGGATGTACGTGACATGAATGACATTGTCAACCGATTAAGCTAATCTACTATGGGCGCCAACGATTCTGGGTTTGTCCCATCTTATGTTAAAACTAAAGGCCTTGGGTCATTGTCTATCTTTGGGATATGTAATCAAGTGTGAAATGGGAGGGTGGTTCAGTTGACGATTGTTAGTTATAAGATAACATGTGAAATGTATTGTGATGTCATCAAGTATGTTTATCTGTGAAAATGATTCTCAATAAAAGTGTGACTTGGAGAGTTGTTGAGCAGAGTAGGTCAGGGAGCTGACAGACGTTTGTTCACAACTCTCCTTGCGCAAGTATACTTATAACCGTCTCTTTCTGGTGTGTCTTTATTAATGTATTTTAATGTCTTTTGGGTAGAATTCCCTGACAACACTTTAAAAAAAATATTCCATCCAGTCCTTCTATTTACAGAGGTCGCTGGTGTTAGACTAGTGCATGTCAATGGCCATAGTTCTCCTGCCACTAAAAACAGTCTTACCCACTCCACAAAACACCTGAAGAAAATCTGTTATTACACCAGACTGTCCATGTGAATGTCTGTGTCAATAGAATAATGTTTGAAATAAAACAAACCTTGCATCGCATGAATCATCGCATGTTGAGGGACTATTTTCTCATATATCAATCCGTCGCCGGAAGTACAATAAATAAATTCAAGGTTGGTTTTATTTCTAAAAGTATTCTATCAACAAAAACATTTACATCGACAGTCTGGTGTAATAATAGTGTGTAATAATAATAATAATTTGGGTGTTTGGGGAGTGGGTAAGACTGTTTTTAGTGGCAGGATAACTATGGCCATTGACATGCACTAGTCTAACACCAGCAACCTCTGTAAATACAAGGACTGGATGGAATAAAAAAAAAAAAAAAAGTGTCTCCACACGTCTCCAACACTCTGGCTTACTAGGAAATGAGACGTCCGCAGCCAATATATTTTGCAGAACATCTTGAACTACAATCCAGAAATGCTGTATATTGGGGCGGTCCCAAAATATGTGAGTTTGGTCACCCACAAGTCCACAGTTCCTCCAACATCTGTCACTAAGACTACATTTTGAAATAGAAGTTTTCAGATGCTTAATTTTACCTTCCAGTCAAACTCCTTCCAAATTTGACTTCCCACCCTCTATGACGACCAGAACAAATACTCTCCCAGGTGTCATCATCCAAGGTCACGTACATTTCCATTTCCCACTGTTGTTTTATATGATTTGTGTTATCAGGCCCGTCCATCTAGTCAGGCTGGTGTCATTTCTCTCCAGCGACTAGGTCAGGAATCGGAATACATTAGACCAGGGGTGCTCACACGTTTTCAGCATGCAAGCTACTTACAAAATGACAAAATACAAAGCCAAGCAAACTGCACTGAAACACTCTGTGCCCCTTTTTTGGACCCTCACCCACAGTTTGAGAACCCCTTCTTTAAGAGAACTTCCTCTGGCACTTTACACAAAACTGTGAAAAAAGTGAAGGAAGATTTTTAAACCTGTTTTTTAAAGTTCCAAACTGGAGTTGCATTCTTTTCTGGTTTTGCAGTGATATTTACCAGCCTCTGCACATTTACCAAACCAAACGCACATCGTGACAAACACAGATGCATTTGTACACTTTTGTTAGACAAACTTCAGCCAAATGTGGCAGTAGGTCTGTTCTGTAGATCTGCTCTATGCTGTAGACCTGCTTTGTGCCAACACTGTAACACAAATTTAGACTTGTTTTTGCTTCACGTTTTGTCTTGCTCTTCTAATCAGCGCACACTGTGGAAGGGGCTTGTTTTCTCTGTACGCAGGAAGGAGCGAGAGCGTGAAAAGGTGAGGGGCGGCGTGCTGACGTGAGGCAGATGGACAGGTAGGATGTTTAGGAAGTTTAACCTGCCCTGTGATGCACGCTGGTACACGAGGGCACATGCTGTGCATAGGGAGCGTGTGTATTTGTGATGTGCCTGTAGAGTCTCCGCGGGCTGCACTGAGCGCACAGGCTGCACTGAGACGGCCCACACGCTCCTGTGCCCCGGTACAAAAGTCGCCAACAGCAGTGGCCGTAATGAAATATGATCGCACTTGTTGAGTGTCAGACCTTGAGTGAGAGACAAGACAGAGTCCAAACGCGATCGAGTCCGAGACGAGTACTAAGACACGGCGATCTACCCACATGACCTTGGCGATCAACTGGTAGATCGCGATCGACGTATTGGGCACCCCTGCATTAGACAGTTCGCAAAAAACCCTGGAAGAGCGAGTTCGGGCACCAGCCAATCAATGAAGAGCCAGACATTCTATGTTGGTAACGATTCCTGAGATTGACGATTTAAAGCCAGAACAAAGAAAATGTTTGTGAATTTTTTTCAAGGGGAAAGACATTATTGTCCTTTTTCCTACAAGATTTGGGAAAAGCTTAGTATACCAGTTAGTCCTGTTAGTGGCGCTTTACATAAGTCACGACTCATGACCATACAGCATCGACTGGTTAAATGAAAAAAAAAGTACCCGCCTACTGTTGAGTGAAGGAATTTTAACACTGTGAGGTCAGATGGTTTCTACGAAGTGAAACTGGCTGATGCATCAGGCTACCTTCCATCAACAATTTTTGGTAAATCTTGCTCACTTGTTTTTTCAGTTCACCAGAGTTTTCAAGAAGATAACGAAAATATGAAATGAATGTATTTTAATTAATAAAAAACATTGATTGCTAGATGTATACGTTTACTACCGTATTGTGGAACATTCCTGGTAATGATCTTAATATTTTGGTGCCACAGAACAATGTCCAAAGCTCAAAATGCTCTGTCCCAACATCTGCAGAGTGGTATATGGAGTTTAAAAACACAGTGGAGCACTTCTTGTATTATCACATCACAAGTGTTTTCTGTTTTTCTCAGTCTGAATATGCAGGATGTGTGTGTTAAGCAGTTAAACATGTGGGAATGAGACAAAACACATCTCCAGGTATGTTTTTGATGATTAAAAAAATGTTATAACATAGAAAATTGCTATGCCCAATGGGAGTCGACATTGCCATAAACGTCCTCTCAACAAAGTCAGCATCTCCCATGCATAAAACAGTGAGTTGGGTTTGATAATGGAATGATATCCTGAATGCAGCTGTATACTATAGACATAATAGATTACTCAAACATGAATGACCCACTCTTATAAACAAACAGAAAACATTATCACTGATTTAAATTTTATTTTAATGCAGGCCCATTTTTAAATCCTGGATTAGTTGATATTTCTGTAAAGGCCTGAGGTTTCGCAGTGTGAATTGGACCAGTTTTCTTGCAGAAGCCATAATGCTGCAGGCTGATGATGAGGATGAAGATGCTGTCTTGGATCTGGAGGTTTTCCTTGATTTTGTTAAAAATCTTCTCCAGATTGACCCAGAGAAGAGACTGACTGTTGAGCAAGCCCTGACCCACCCATTTATAACAATGGAACATCTGATCTACAGTGACAGTGAATATGTCCAAGTTGTTCACAATCTTATGGCAGTAACCCTGAGGGCCTCCAGATCTGCTCCTGTGGAAAATGGAGCTGAAGGAGATCCAGAGCAGAACCTACAGACCTCTGCATCTTTACTTGAGAGGCCAGGGTCCTCTCTGACCTATGAAGATGTGAGCTCCTCTCCTGAGTGCAATAACGTGTCCTCTAAACACAAGCACCTTGAGGAAGCCTACAATGTCTCATGTTTCCAGATGGACCAGGGGGATAAGGTGAACTCCAGTCTGAAAGAGGAGCA